CGGTGGGCAGAGAATGAGACTCAACGATAAGGAAAAGCCAGAAGTCAGGGATACCAGAATACAGGGAAGTCAAACAAAGCCAAAGTCAAAAACCAGAAATAAAGGCTCAGGAACACACTATCGGACAACCACTAGGGAAACCACAACAGGGCAATGAGGAAAAGTAAATTTGAGTTTAAATAAGTGCTTTATACAGGGAGTGCAGAATTATTAGGCAAGTTGTATTTTTGAGGATTAATTTTATTATTGAACAACAACCATGTTCTCAATGAACCCAAAAAACTCATTAATATCAAAGCTGAATATTTTTGGAAGTAGTTTTTAGTTTGTTTTTAGTTTTAGCTATGTTAGGGGGATATCTGTGTGTGCAGGTGGCTATTACTGTGCATAATTATTAGGCAACTTAACAAAAAACAAATATATACCCATTTCAATTATTTATTATTACCAGTGAAACCAATATAACATCTCAACATTCACAAATATACATTTCTGACATTCAAAAACAAAACAAAAACAAATCAGTGACCAATATAGCCACCTTTCTTTGCAAGGACACTCAAAAGCCTGCCATCCATGGATTCTGTCAGTGTTTTGATCTGTTCACCATCAACATTGCGTGCAGCAGCAACCACAGCCTCCCAGACACTGTTCAGAGAGGTGTACTGTTTTCCCTCCTTGTAAATCTCACATTTGATGATGGACCACAGGTTCTCAATGGGGTTCAGATCAGGTGAACAAGGAGGCCATGTCATTAGATTTTCTTCTTTTATACCCTTTCTTGCCAGCCACGCTGTGGAGTACTTGGACGCGTGTGATGGAGCATTGTCCTGCATGAAAATCATGTTTTTCTTGAAGGATGCAGACTTCTTCCTGTACCACTGCTTGAAGAAGGTGTCTTCCAGGAACTGGCAGAAGGACTGGGAGTTGAGCTTGACTCCATCCTCAACCCGAAAAGGCCACACAAGCTCATCTTTGATGATACCAGCCCAAACCAGTACTCCACCTCCACCTTGCTGGCGTCTGAGTCGGACTGGAGCTCTCTGCCCTCTCTGCCATCCATCTGGCCCATCAAGACTCACTCTCATTTCATCAGTCCATAAAACCTTAGAAAAATCAGTCTTGAGATATTTCTTGGCCCAGTCTTGACGTTTCAGCTTGTGTGTCTTGTTCAGTGGTGGTCGTCTTTCAGCCTTTCTTACCTTGGCCATGTCTCTGAGTATTGCACACCTTGTGCTTTTGGGCACTCCAGTGATGTTGCAGCTCTGAAATATGGCCAAACTGGTGGCAAGTGGCATCGTGGCAGCTGCACGCTTGACTTTTCTCAGTTCATGGGCAGTTATTTTGCGCCTTGGTTTTTCCACACGCTTCTTGCGACCCTGTTGACTATTTTGAATGAAACGCTTGATTGTTCGATGATCACGCTTCAGAAGCTTTGCAATTTTAAGAGTGCTGCATCCCTCTGCAAGATATCTCACTATTTTTGACTTTTCTGAGCCTGTCAAGTCCTTCTTTTGACCCATTTTGCCAAAGGAAAGGAAGTTGCCTAATAATTATGCACACCTGATATAGGGTGTTGATGTCATTAGACCACACCCCTTCTCATTACAGAGATGCACATCACCTAATATGCTTAATTGGTAGTAGGCTTTCGAGCCTATACTGCTTGGAGTAAGACAACATGCATAAAGAGGATGATGTGGTCAAAATACTCATTTGCCTAATAATTCTGCACTCCCTGTAGTTCTGATTGGCCGAAAACGGCCTTTGACTCCAAAACGTGTTCACACGTCTCCCGCGTAACGTCACGCGCACCTTGAATCGTGAATCCGCAATGTTCGGTGTCCATCAACATGTTGCAAGAGTCGGTTATACAGACGCACGGCCGCTGGGCGCAAATACCGCAAGGTGAGGAGGAATATGCTACATGGTGGGACAAAACGGACCTGCCACTGTGGATGAAGCTCATGATGGCGCAGAAGGCATCACGCTTTCAGTCCGGGGCCGGCGCAGGTACGGCTTCCCCCTCATCGGCCATTCACAAGAAGGGATTTTGCTGGCTGTTCAACAATAGCGGGGGCTGCATACCGTTACAAGCATGAATGTTCCGGGTGCGGAGACATGCATGGATTCAATCATTGTTTCAAGCGATGTAAGGCGGCTGCCGCAGGGGGTGCACCGGGAGTAGCTGGGCCATCCTCTACCACTGGGGTCGTCGCCAGTGAAGGTAGGCGTGATGTTGCCGTGGCTAAGCAGCTACGGTAATCAGGAGGATGCGGCATTGCTGTGGGAACTGTGTCGGAATCAGCCCCAGGTGCTCCAACGCCAACCGAAAGGAACTGAAAGGAACCCAGAGGAATTCAAACTTTGATAGGGAAGAACCATCCGCATGTAACAACAAGATACCGTCGACCATGGCACGTACCGCCTAAAAGCCCAACCAACAAGGCACCGGGCACACTGCCAACCCCGGCACAGCAAATAGTGTAACTGCCAAGCCTTCTTCCAAAAATGTCAGTCTTGGACCGACGTAGATGAATCACCACCCGTAGATGAATCTCCACCCGACAAGCAAGAGATCCCAAGCTGCCACACACATCCTCTGGACACCGCATCCCCTCCTCCTCTGCGCCCTAGGCCGCCTCCCGGAATCGCTCCCACTGAAATCGAGAAAGCGAATCAGCCACCACATTCAGCAACCCCGGTACATGCCCTCGCGCGAAACACAATATTAAACGGCATGGAAACCAACACAAAGTGGCGAAGCAGCCGAATGACCGGAATTGAAGAAGCCGACAACCCATTAACTGCCTCCAC